ATTCATTGGTAAAAAGTGACTAGAACCATTTTTTTTAATATGAATTAGCCATGTATTTGTTATTTTGATTAATGCTAAAAGAAACTGACTCATAAAACTTGACAGGCTAAAATATGCAAAAATTTGTTAAACATCAAATAAAAATATATTTTCTGTTAACTACTCTAAGAACTGGTCAACATATTGTAAGTACTAGTACTATTAAATTCGTTGAAGTAACTCGTTTAGTAATAAGTCTTCAAAACAGCTTGTAGGTATTAAAAAGCTTTAAAATAAACTGAAACTTTACAAACTTCTGAATCATTTTACAACTGTACAAAAAAAGGTACAGGCGTAAATACAGAATTTTCATCTTGTTACTTTTTTAAACTCGTAGGACACACCATGATTCAGCTAAGACAGCTGGAAAAACTAGTCATTTACCATTAAAAATATTGATAGCACTGTGACTATTCTAGTAGTAGCAACGTTACACTTCAAATAAAACATGAAAGAAAAGACCATCACTACTGGGTCACACAATTATATCAAGTCAAATAAATGATTATTATAAAGTTTATATTATAAGACGGCTAATTTTAACTACTATTTTAAATTGAATCATCAACAAGAAATCTCACGATTACATCATACCTACAATAACTACGAAGATTTAGAGAAAATGTAAGAAATAGTTATACATCTAATGTACTACATTTACACTGACACCTAACAGACAGTAAGATACTTTGGTAGGAGTTTTCAAAAACTAAACTGAAAATCATTCTATCGATAATAAATAACCACTAGCACTGTAGTAGGGAAAAATTGAATATTTTTAAGAAAACTTTATATTACAGCCAGAAATGATCCTTTACAACCCTAATTTTTGGCAGCAAACATATATACCACTTTATAAAAATGACTGTGAATCAAAGATAGGTTCCCTCTGCTCTCGAAACCTGTAGGCAAGCCATACACTGATCACCTGAAATAGGAAAAGAATCAGCATTAGATAAATAAATCAATTCTATGTGATAAAGAAGGGGTCAAAGTGTGTATGCCCTGATTTTTCACAGAGCACCAATCATCATGGTATTATATATTTTATTTCAGAGTTATCAACTCTTTTATTTTACCCTTCACTGCTAATTCAGCGACAACTTGTGGTAAAGTAATATACCAGATACAATATACATGTATATTGAAAAAACTGTAGATATGCATTTTGGAGGCTCTAGAGATTATACAAATGCAATATGTAAACTGTACAACAGACAAAAATATTTTTATTCTTCACATCAAAATCCTCTTACACAACTTGTCAGACTGATGTCATCAATTCACAAATATATCCTGAGTATAGATAGTTTGTAACACACACCTGATTTATTGTGTAAAACAAGACTTTTGCACTTTTTACTAAAAGCTTGCCACATTTTGTGTAGATACACATATTAAACTTAGGATTACAACCAATATTCCTTTTTCAATATGGATTATTCCATCAGTTAACTGACATTAAATGACTACTGCCATTGTAATAGTAGCTGCAACCAGGGTTTTGTAAAAAAAATCTCATGTTTTAGGTTTTCAATCACAAAAGAATTGTAATTATTTTTCAAATTCATCATAGTGAAGGTACTCAAACAAATCATTTTGGAGAGGATGAAATAAATAAACAAATTTACATTACACACAAATTATATATAAATGAAACAATATTAAAATGACTTTAAAAATATTTTTAAAAAACTATTTATTACTGTTAGTTTAAAATAAATAAATAAAACTACAAAAACATAAAAGCCATAAAAATACTGGTTTCATATCATCCAGGATACTCTTCAGTTTCTACAATAAAGTTTTCTTGAACAAGAGCTGCTTAATAACGTAAATCTTCTCATGTTTCTTTTTACCTTAAAGCTTTATATACGTTTTAAAGTCCCCCTGTGTGTTAAACTATGTAATATTTAATGTGGTCTCGATTTTATTTATAAAATAATTTTCATAAAATAATCATTTATTTTTTTCACAAGAATACCAAAATGGAAATATTTGGAAAAGGGTTCTACAAAAGTATGATATTTTTCCATAATACACTAGCTTTAAGGTAAAAAAATGTGGGATGTTTTTACATTGTTATGCAGGTCTTTTTCGAGAAAGCTTTATTGTAGAAACTGAAGTGTATCCTGGATGATATGAAACCTGTATTGTTATGCATTTGTGGTTTTATTTATTTTAAATTAACAGTAAAAAATAGTTTTTTTAAATATTTTTTGTCATTTTTGTATTGTTTCAGTTTTATTAATCACTTCCTTCAGCAAAATATATTTGTTTCATTGTGTGTGTGTACATATATATATATATATATATATATATATAACAAAAAAGAACTGAATCTTCCTTTGAAACTGCAACCAAAAAAACAAGTGATTGTGGAGTAATCTGATGTTTCAGATAGGTAACTGAAAATTACAAAAAAGAACTGAATCTTCTTTTGAAATAGCAACCAAAAAAAAAAGTGATCATGGAGTAATCTGATGTTTAAGATAGGTAACTGAAAAGTACAAAAAAGAACTGAATCTTCTTTTGAAACTGCAATAAAAAAAGTGATCATGGAGTGATCTGTTTAAGATAGGTAACTGAAAACTACAAAAAAGAACTGAATCTTCTTTTGAAACTGCAACCAAAAAAAGCAATCATGGAGTAACCTGATGTTTAAGATAGGTAACTGAAAACTACAAAAAAGAACTGAATCTTCCTTTGAAACTGCAACCAAAAAAGTGATCATGGAGTAATCTGATGTTTAAGATAGGTAACTGAAAACTACAAAAAATAACTGAATCTTCTTTTGAAACTGCAACCAAAAAAAGTGATCATGGAGTAATCTGTTTAAGATAGGTAACTGAAAACTACAAAAAAGAACTGAATCTTCTTTTGAAACTGCAACCAAAAAAGCAATCATAGAGTAACCTGATGTTTAAGATAGGTAACTGAAAACTACAAAAAAGAACTAAATCTTCCTTTGAAACTGCAACCAAAAAAAAGTGATCATGGAGTAATCTGATGTTTAAGATAGGTAACTGAAATGTACAAAAAAGAACTGAATCTTCTTTTGAAACTGCAATAAAAAAAAAGTGATAAGGATGGGAAACAACCACTAGACGATAGAGGCAAAATTGGACTGGAAATAACACACTATCTTGGAACTATTTTTAAAAGTAGAACATATTTCCAGAATGCTACAAAATTATCAGGAGAAGTACTAAAACAATATCAAAAGAGATTGGGAAAAATTTCTTCATGAAGATACAAAAGCCTAAGAAAAATGCACCATTCAAAATTTATGTTTCAAAACACTGTCACTGTACTGAGGTTTGTACTCCATAGAAAAACTATGGAAACAAAATCACCAACATAATAGTTTTGATGTAAGTAAAATAAAGACAAAATGAGAAAAAACAAAACAAAACAGAAGTTTAAAAGAAACACATGCCTAATATTTTAAAATGTTTACTAAGGCAACAAGCACAAGTTATGCCCACAATGAGATAAAGTTGCAATGTCAGCTTTATAGCATTGTTCCCTTTAAGGCTTCACAGGACTCCAGACAAGGTAATGTGGATAACCACAAATGATAACTAAACACTCTTGGGATGGAAGTCTGATAAGTCTTTTAAAATCAAAGGTTAAATTTACGACTGTAAAGGTATTTTAAATAAGTGTGTGAAGTTAAGTGCACCTGCTAACCAATTATTCAAGTCTGTGGGTATAACATTTTGTTCCAATCAGGGGGCAGTATTTCTGGTGAGGTTTCACAAAGGTTAAGTGTACAGGGTTTGAATTATCCTTTATGAATGTCAAATAATGAATATTATCCCCTTCCAGATTTAGAAGGGAGGGTCATTGACATATCTTACTTTTTTCCTTCTCACAGTAGAAATACTTAACGAAATTAAACAAAAACTTAGTGAAAACTTATGTTGGGAAATTAAAAAACAATAAAAATATTTCATCCTAGAATTTAATTTTTTTTATTGCTGATCAGAAAGTCACATTTTATATATCCAATCAGTTTTAACTTAAAATTCATTACCTTATTACTTCTGATACTTTATCTTTCCGATTACAGTAGTTACCACTTCCACTTATAAGATTTATGAGTGACTTATAACCTGGCCTATCACATGGCATCAGGTCAGGCTAAGTAACAGTACTTTTTCACAAAATGTTCTTGACTGAGGTCACTTTATTTCTTATAAGTAAAGTTTCTTTTTAAAAAAATAATAAGTTATTTTTACTTATCTATATTGTTTTAATACTATAAACTTAACAAGAACACTCAGTAACAATTATGAGTCTTCAGTATATTCTGTTGTCACCTACCATACACTCTAAACCTATCTAAGCTTACCTGATGTCTTGTCATAGAAAATTTCTGTAGCCTTGAAACAAATATAATTTTATCAAAAAACATTTTCAGGAATGAAACATATAAAGAAACTAAGATTTGCCAGGTCTGTGATTTGTTCGTAGGTCTTCTAAACTTATTCAGTTGTTATTCTCTGCAATAACTGTTTTGTCACCTTCCCATGAAATAGTAAATTACTTTTCCTACTAATTTCTTCACTATACAGTGACATAAACAGTTTATAATTTGCTCTATGTAATACATGAACTTTGCCTGCAGCTATTTTCAAAACTAAGCTACATTTGTTGTTCTGATCACATGCTGTGAAGTCATAAAAGGGTGGGAACAAGAGGCCACGCTAACAAAATCAGAGAAAGAGAAGAAAAATTACAAAACAAGACCTTGAGGCATGCTTTCTTCTTAGCAAATATAAAGCTTTGTTTTGGAATGGGCAGAAAAATGATAAAACATTGATAAATACATTGTTTACAGGCGAGGTTCCTTGGAGCCTGTGCAGAAATGTGGAATGATTTTTTTTTTCAAAATTACATTAAAGAAATGTTACGAAAAGTAAATTATAAAATATTTTTGAAGCAGTTATAATTATTATTTTTTACTTACATTTTGAAAGCAGATACATAGGTGTGCTCTTAAAATGGACTCGCCAGTCCAGAATAATAATAACAGGTTATAATAGATATGTAGGTGTGCACTTGACACTTGAAATGAACTCACTAGTCCAGAATAATAATAATAGGTTATAATAAATATGTAGGTGTGCACTTAACACTTTAAATGGACTCACCAGTCCAGAATAATAATAGGTTATAATAGATATTCAAAGAATAAAAAGTACATTTACACTACTAATTTACATATTTTTTTTTCCTTAACATTTTTCTTTTTTTAATGTAATGCTTTTTAACATTTTTGAAACACCACACACAGACTTCTATATCTAAGTCCAATTCAATTTTAAAGTACAGGCAGGTCACCAAATTTCTTATCCACCAGTTTGAAAATAATTCCACTTTTTGGAGCATCTTTCATAAGGATAAATCCATAAATAATGCAAAGCATGCATATTATAATATTAACAACACAGGTCTTGCATCAGTTGAATTTGCTTAGTTATGTTTCTTAGAACAAATAGTGCAATATGATAGTATTAAGTTCTACTGTCATACCCCCAAGTAAATAAATGATGCTATCTTATTATAAAGCTTTACATAACAACTCCACTTAAAAGTCTGGCTTGTAATGTGCTGTCTTGAAGCAAATCAAGAAACATATTTGGTTCACTCTTAAAATTAACTATCTTAGAGAAGCTTACAAAAGGTCTAATTTTACTTCACATTTTTGCTACCCAGTTTAACAGTCTTTAACCCTCTTGCTACAGGTAGGTCAAAGTGCACTTGTCAGAAACTTTTAGAGTTAAATTCAAAATATAATTAAACTACTTTAGTATCATTGTATATGAATGAATAAACTTGGCATCAAAACATAGTTAATGAATCAAATTTTAATACACGTTCCGAGTTCTTAATTTCATAAGGAAATATTGAAAAACTCCTCAATCTCTCCTAGTATGAGAATTGAGATATTTATTCCCTAGGTCTTCTCTCTTCTCTAATTTATTCAACTACTCCCCAAGAAGTACAAAATTTAACATAAATTACTCATTATAATATTTATATTACTAAGGCAAAGCATAATTTTTATAGCATTTAATCTTGTTTGTTTATAAAGTCATAAACTAGAAAATTAGATCTACCTGTCACATCCTCTCTTTCACATATTGCCAATATTCTATCTCGCATTTTATACTATATCATTTACAACAAATAGAAAGCCAAGGTTTTAATCACCTTATTGTAAACATTGGATAATCTGATTGTCACCTTAAGTAAACATTGGATAAAAGGTTAAGGTAAAGCTGTCCTTAATACTACTAGCCACAGAGAAAACAAAAAGTCAGCAACAACCAGTGCCACATGACTTGTTTGACTTTGAAACTGAATGAATAACTGACTTTTATAACTTGCCATTACATAAAATTACAGAACATGTTCTGCAGCACTGCAGTCCAAACCTTGAACCTACAGATCCATAATCCAGCATGTTGATCAACAGGCCATGTCTGACCACCTTTCTTTGAATACAACTGAACTATTCAAACTATAACTTTCTGAGAGAGAGAACAGAATTTACGAGTATTAGTAATATCGAGGTTTCATCGGCACGACAACCACTAGATGTCTGAAAGATTTAAGCAAACTATATAACAGCCAAAAAACTATCTATAGGTTTGTTCTTATTAAAGAACTACCATTTCCAATATGCAATTATAAGACCACTTGTTAATGCCAGTACATGATGGAGTAGATCTTGATACTTCAGGAAAGGATTATTATGGAATATCAGAAAAAGAGTTATAAGTCATTATGTTAGAATATTATTTTTTTTACCAAGGTAAATGGGTTTTGTTTAATCATGACTTTCCAGTTACATCTGCTTGGACATCATGCATCTATACAAAAAACACCAAAATATAATGGACAGATATGATGTTAAGGAAAATAGAAAACAAAAAAATTTATATATTTTGTAATTTTACAAAACATGCAAAGACAGTATGTTAACACCATTTATTATGGTGTTTTGTAGGTTGAGAGTGAAGTGCGTTCATGTGAGTTATCCATAGTGAACCATGTTAGGCTAGTATAGTACATGTTTCAAAGCTTATTGTAGATTAAAGCTGTGAACAGTTTTATAATATTAGAAGTTTATAACACACATTTGATACTTCTTAAAACATAAAAAGCATAAAGAGTACACAAAGAAACCATGCAGAAGAAGTTAGAAAGTTAGTACCATACCTGGTTAACCCAAAAGATGTATTACAAGAAAGCACTAGGGTTAGCTCTGGGATCTTTCTGGTTACGATAACGTACTGTCAGCCAAACCCCAATAAACTGGAAGAAAAAAAATTAGTCCAACAAGTTCATGATTAGATTTAGTGACTAGAACTCTCAAAAAGTAGTTGTATGAAATTCCTTGAGATAAACACACACACACACTCACACAGTAAAATCACAAGTCTAGAAATGTCACCACATTCATTTTGTTTTTCATTCCAAAATACTTCATAATTCCACTTTCTACTAAGAAGCCATTTATTTGAAGTTTTCTTTTCAATACATACAAAAAATCATTTATTTTGTATATGGACAGAAATGGAGCACATGGTTTGGTCACTACATAGATTTCAGATGGCCACATGACAAATACCAGAGTATCACTCCCCAAATATAGATAACAGCTACATAAAGATAACTTTTGATGACATGAATAAATAATAATAATTTTAACAGAAATTAACAGTTCTAACTTTAGTTATAATTAAGCTAAATATGTTAGTTTTTCCAATGCAAAATTATTTGTTTAGGAGCTTAGAAAAATTAAATTATTATTAACTTCAAAGAATAAAAAACTAAATACCCAATAAAAATCTTTTTTCTCAGACCATCTCTAATATTGACATTGCTTTCTGTTACTGATTTTTGTACTACATATTTCTGTTTTGACAGCAAGGTATATTTTGTTGGATTTTACTGTGTCAAAATCTGAATATATGTACTCTGCACAAGAGAAAAGTTGCTAATGCATACACACAATAAAGAGAGGCATTACAATAGTCAATTACTTTGTGTATGTACAATCTGAATGGTGCCTAACATGCTTTTTCTGTTAACTTGTTAGAATAAATTATAATTGTTTTATTTTATTGCTGTAAACTTTGTTTTCCAAGGCTAGGGCTCAACATTAATTAAAAAACTCTGTGTGCCCCTGGTTATTTAACTGTAATGCATATCATTTTGACACGTTATTTTGTCATACAGTAAGTTTGTTCTTTTAGTTTTTTCTTCCCTTCAAATATCTTATTACTATTGACAGAAGCAGGCCACTGATGTGACATTTTGGACTCATTCTACACTCACTGTTAGCAATACTTACCATACGTTGTGATATCTGATCTTTGATAAGTACCCAAGCATATATTTATCTAATAAAATAATATAATTCCAAACTTACCTGCACTTCACCTAAGTATGAAAAAAAAAATTCATACAATATAAAATACATTGCTTCTAATAATATTGCCTGTACGGAATCATTTCCTTTGATAATCAAAAGTTTAAATTTGGACAGGTAAAAAATTTGCCCATACCTGTCCTATGTGATAGGTGATTTTCAAAGTTCATGTTGAGCCCTGAAGGCTACTTTAAAGTTTAAGTTTACTGTAAGCATTTTATTTTCATTGTTTAATTGCTTGTATTTGAGTAAAAAATTATTATTGTTCAGATATTTTATATTCACACACTGGTATTACTATATGTGATAAATAAATATTAGGGAGAATGAATTAATCACCTAAGAATGTCAATTGAAAGAATACAGGTACGAATACTTCCTAAAGTTTTGATAGTACACGTGTTTCGTGGAGTTTGTAACAAACTTTCTATCATTTCACGTAAATGCATATTTATTCAAAATCTGTTGTTTTATTGAAAATAATAACTGCATAAAGTAATCTTAACTCAGCAAATTACTTTTACATCTATCCTTGCTATTAAGCACAGGCTGCTCCTTGTTAGTAACACACACATGGTCATAACATAAACCCAACAAATTATGAACATGTGAAATTTACTATTTTACAATACTTCTGATTTGCATGAATTAAGGTATACCTGTAACACATAAAGCAATACTGGATTATGATGAACAGATAATATTTTCTAAATAAAGAGAAAAAAACTGTGTACTCATTTTCTTTTCAGATATATAAATTGATGAATCCTAACAAGTAGAAATGTGCAATTACTTGATCCCAAACCACGTTTTGTTTTCACATGCTAGAATTTTTAAAATAAAATCGTGAAAATAGTCTAGTCATCTACTTGTTGAATATTTTAATTTTCGTTAAGTATGTATTTAGATTTATACTGGCTTTATGTATGTCTATACGATGCAAGTACAGCAAGATATTTGGAGGTACTTCCTCTGAATTTCTGCTGTCTACTAGTTTCTAAGTAGAATTTCCAACTTCAACTATGGGTCGTTTCTCTGATCTGACAAGATCTTAGATTGAAGGCTAAAATATTATTTACAAATGTCCACATGCAACAGCATATATGCCAAATCTTCGAGTTTTGTAATAAAATTTTTGGATTGTCACCTAAAATAATTTTTTTTACTGATAAATTTTGCTTTAATAGGTAAATGTTCAAAACTTAATGTTTTTCATATTTAGTTAAGTTTTATTATTCTAAGGTATAGTTATAAACTTCTATGATATACATATATTATCAAATAGATCTTAAATATTGAATGAATTACATTTTACTGATTATTCATTCTTTGTACCAAAAGTCATTTATAATATGCCAAAATATGTTGAATACGTTTTACTTTAACACAAAAAGAGGAAACCAATAATTAACAGTGTTAATTTTTACATGAATTCTTTAAAGGAATTTTAAAATAATTTTGTATGTAGAATATTCTACTCCTATACTTTCAGTTTTTTGAAACTTCAACTACATTAATTCTCATCAATAAAGAATCACAAAAACTTTATTTAAACTAATCATATTATTATGGAATTATAGGATTCAATTTATCTCATAAATACTCATTAACAATTTAAGCTAACTTAACGATTTGATTGGTTCTGACCTACCTCTGTGAAACTAAAAAAGAGGCCAACTCCTCCCGATATTTGAAGACCACTGTTTATAGCATTCAGCAGCTTTGGTCCACATAATTCACAGTCAACATTACACTGTCTTTCTGAAGTGCAACAGCTAGCCACCTAAAACATTGCATGAAAAAACACTATGATTATTGTACTATTGCCAACAACAACAAAATAAATAAATACCCAATCTAACAATCAATGGAATATATAGTTATATTTTCTAGTCACTTCTTACGTGTAAAACATTTTTATTAATTTAAAGATACAGAAATTTTTTTCTAAAAGACTGAATAGAGACAGAAGTTCATAATTCTATTGGTTTGCATTGTAGTATAGTTGGTTCCTTACAAATGATTGCTCATAACAATTATATAGAAAAACAAAAATAAGTAATATTTGAGATACAATAAAAAAAT